CTATCAACAGCTTTTGTGAAACAATATGAATTTAACTGTGAGTTGGCACCAACACGAACCACACTGGAGGGTACGAAAAGAAAGTCGTCGGAAGATCACAAGACCTACGCAAACCGGTGGAGAAAGTTAGTGGCCAAAGTGGAGCCTCCTATGATTGAGGAGGAGATTGTTCGTACTTTTATCAAAACTCACGATCCACCCTATTTTGAAGAGATCTTTAGCATGACTGGAAGTTCGTTTGCTGCTATCATTAACAAATTGGAGGAGTACGATGAATTTGTCAAAGTAGGGAAGATTGTTAATGTGTCTGCATTAAAGTTGCAATTGGATGCTCTACAAAATCAAAGCAGCAATGGGAAAAAGCCCCCATTTAAAAAGAAAGAAGGAGAAACTGCCTTTGTATGGGATCAAGGCCCGTCTTTCAGACCCAGAAACCGTCCCACCTATTCTTTTCCTTACCCGTATTACATCAATTCTCAACCAATCTACCACACTACTACCCAAGTCCATCATTTCCGACCAAGTCACTTGAATATCTCACTGTTACCTCTAACCCCACAACCTATCTTTCAAAATCACACTCGTCCTATTTACCATCCCAGACCAACACTGCAAAATAATAACCCTTCTCAAAATCCTTTTCAAACTAGTGGAATCCAAACTCAGAAGCAATTTCGAACCTTCACCAACTTGGGCCGACCAATTGATCAATTATATGAGCAGTTAAAAGCAGCTGAAAAAATTGACACCGTTCCTCCCAAACTTTATCCCAAAGGCATTCCTCCAGGTTATGATATGCAAGCAATTTGTGCTTATCATTCTGGAAGTCCAGGTCATACCACTGGCAATTGTTTGGCTTTAAAATATAAGATTCAAGACATAATTGACTTTGGAGACATCCTTCTCAGAAGAAAGGAAGAACAAGGACCGAATGCCAGTAAGAATTCTTTACCTGAGCATGGGAGCACTGTGGGAGTTATTATCGCTGATGGAGATTTTATCGATCCCACTCAGTACATTGTAAATGAAACTGAGGTGTTTGGCGTAATGGAGACTGACCACGCCAGAATGAGAAAATTGTCTTCTGTTGAAAAGTCCATGGCCAATGATAATGTTGAGGAAAAGTTGAAATCTTTTGTATTTGAAAAGGAGGAGCCATTTATAGCGGAAGGGGGAGTTTTTGAGGTTGACAAATCTCCTTTTATTTTGGATCTACCTTCTTTTGAATGGGATATATCAGAGCCTATCATTCTTGAATTTTTGGAACAAATGCCTGTCAATAACCTGCAAGAGGTGCCATGAAACTACGAGGAGTCTATTTTGTTGGTTGGAGATAAAAAATGCTTAAAGGAAGAGGTATCTACTATTACCACGTCTGGGAGAATTATGAAAAACTCCGATATTGATGTTCAGTCCAAGGCCAAGGTTAAATCTCCGACACCCAAGCCTCGTGTGTCTGAAAATGAAGCTGTAGATTTTCTGAAGATGCTGAAGAGAAATGAATACAAAATAGTGGAGCAGTTGGATAGGATGCCTACTCAGATTTTTTTTCTGAATATTTTCTTGACCTCCGAGCTACACAAAGAAGCATTGCTCAAAATTCTAAACGAAACTCAAGTCCCTAAAAATATTCCGATAGATAAATTTTCTAACATTGTGGGGAATATACTTGCTGCTAATCATATTGCCTTGTCCGATGATGATCTGACTGCAGAAGGGATCGGGCATAACAAAGCGTTGTATATATCAGTCCGCTGCAACGGAAAGCTGTTGCCGAGGGTTTTAGTGGATAATGGGTCAGCGTTGAATATCTGTCCATGGAACACTCTCACCAATCTTGGATTTCTTGACATTAAACTCCGTCCATCTGCAACTGTGGTTCGAGGATTTGATGGTTCAAGGAGGGAATCTATGGGTTAAGCAGATCTGGTATTAGAGATAGGCCCTGCTCAATTCCAAGTTACTTGCCAAGTGATGGACTTCTCCAGCGTTTACAATATTTTGCTTGAAAGACCTTGGATACATGCTTCCAATTCAGTGCCATCTTCTCTGCATCAAATGTTGAGGTTTATTGCGAATGATCAGTTCATTACTGTGTTTGCTGAGGATGACTGTACCATGATCGTTGATGCAAAGTTCAATGGTGAAAACAGAAAAAGGACTCCAATTTCGTCTCATCACGTTGCTGACATCGTCTCTGTGGGATGGGCATCCAGGGATAAGTCGCTGGCTCAATCGGATTTGCCAGAGGCCAGTATTATAACGGCTAGGGAGATGATCCGAGGCGGACACGAAATAGGAAAAGGTCTTGGGAGGGAATTGCAAGAAATTTTGGAGCCAATAGAGATCCCGACGCAGAAGGATACATTTGGATTGGAATTTCATCCAACTGCTAAGGATAGAAGGGAAATGCAAACTCGAAAACAAGTTGAAAAGAAGGGCAAACAAACTGTCTTAAATGTCCCACCGCTATATCACACTTTTCCTCATCCATCAGAGGTGATTATGCCGGAAACGAAGAATCCTGTGGAGGAGATTGAAGTGGACCTATCTCAACTATTTGTCGGGGCCACTTGTGAGGAAGAACCATCAGAGAATGTAGAATTTTTGCCAATCACCGAAGGAGCTATTCAGAATTGGACTGCTGATTATCTTCCCTCTCGAAGGAAATTTCGATAAATTTAAGGGGATTGTCTTTTGTCTAGATCATATCCATATAGGGTGGTAGTCTGGATCTTTTGTTAAAAGAAATTACTTTTTTTTTTTTTTTAAACCTTTATTCTGGTTTCAGTTAATATAGCTTGTTTCGTCCAAAGAAATTGTTGAAACGGAAATAAAGGTTTGGGCTGGATATGTCTTTAAATAGCAATCATGTCTGTATATTTATCTTTTTGTGAAGTCTCGATGCATTTTTGAATTTAAAGAAATGAAAGACTTCTCCAGTATTTGCTATTTATTTATTACTTATGTTCTATTCTATTTTCAGATGGCCACAAATAAAACCCTCTGACCCTTTGGATGTCACCATTTTGGAATTCGATGGCTGCAACCTCGATATCTCTCATGAACTTGAAATCATGCAATCTGAAATTCAAAACGAGAGCGATATTGAGGAAGAATTCGAGTCTATTTCAAGGGGATTTAAAACAGTATGAAGAGAAACCCAAACCCAACTTAGAAGAAACAGAAATCATCAATATTGGCACTAAGACGGAGGTTAAAGAAGTTAAAGTCAGGATTCATTTGAATAAGAAACAGAAGGAGGAAATGATTGAATTTTTAATGCTATTTCAAGATGTGTTCGCATGGTCATACGATGATATGCCAGGAATCTCTACAGACATAGTGATTCACAAGTTGCCAACTGATCCAAATTTTTTGCTTGTAAAGCAGAAGCCGCGTAAATTCAAACCAGAAATGAGTCTCAAGATAAAGAAACAAATTATGAAACAACTCAATGCTAAGATAATCATGGGGTCTCATTATCCCATCTGGCTATCGAATCCTGTGCCAGTGCCTAAGAAATCTGGTGAGGTGCGAGTATGTGTTAATTACAGAGATCTGAAAAAAGCCAGTCCGAAAGACGATTTTTCTTTGTCAAATATTCATATTCTTTTGGACAATACTGCTGGACACGAAATTAAATCTTTTGGTGATTATTTTACTGGGTATCATCAATCTTAATGGCGGAAGAAGACAGAGAGAAAACCTCTTTTGTCACCCCTTGGGGAACCTTTTGTTATCGAGTGATGCCTTTCGGGTTGAAGAATGCAGGAGATACTTATCAGAGGACCATGACTACCCTGTTTCATGACATGATTCACAAAAAAATGGAGGTTTATGTGGATGATATCATAATTAAATCCAAGAAGGTCGAGAACCATTTGGTTGATTTAAAGAAGCTGTTTGAAAGATTGAGAAAATATAATTTGAAATTTAATCCTGCGAAATGTGCTTTTGGAGCCCCAACTGGCAAATTATTGGGTTTTATTGTCAGCAAAAAGGGTATAGAGATAGATCCTGCGAAAATAAAAGCAATTCGAGATATGCCCATTCCAAAAAGTCAAAAGGATGTGAAGAATTTTTTTGGAAAGATCAATTTCATTGGCCGATTCATTGCACAGTTAACCTCTACCTGTGAGTTTTTATTCAAATTGTTGAAAAAGAATGCGCCGATGGAGTGGAATGAAGATTGTCAGCAAGCTTTTGATAAGATCAAGAATTATTTGTTAAATCCTCCGGTCTTAGTGCCACTTCAGCCAGGAAGGCTTCTGATTATGTATTTGTCTATTCTTGATGAGGCTGTTGGATGCGTTCTGGGACAGTATGATGAATCTGGGAGAAAGGAGCGAGCCATCTACTATCTAAGTAAGAAATTTACAGCATATGAGGGCAACTATTCTTTTCATGAGAGAAGTTGTTGTGCTTTAGCATGGACAGCTCAGAAGTTAAGACATTATTTGCTCGGTTATACAACATACCTGATTTCGCGCTCTGATCCTCTGAAATATCTGTTGGAAAAGTCGATGCCCACGGGACGTATGGCTAAGTAGCAAATGATCCTTTTCGAATTCGACATTGTCTTCACGACACAAAAGGCAATCAAAGGTCAAGCCATAGCAGATCATTTGGCAGAAAATCCAAGAGATGATGATTACCAGCCATTGCATACTTACCTTCCTGATGAAGAAATTCTATTTGTTGGAGCAGTTGAGGACATGAGTGAGCAGTATCTTGGATGGACGTTATTTTTTGACGGTGCGTCAAATTCTTTTGGAGGTGAAATTGGAGCAGTTTTAGTGTCGCCTGAAGGGAAACACTATCCTGCTACTGGCAAATTACGGTTTTCTTGTACCAACAACATGGCCGAGTATGAAACTTGTATTTTTGGATTGAAAATGGCATTAGACATGGAGATCAAGAACCTGATAGCATTCAGTGATTCCGATTTACTTGTGCACTAGACGCTTAAGCAGTGGGTAACTCGGGATTCAAAAATTATGCTGTATCATTGTAACTTGCTTAGCTTGGCCAGCAAATTTAGGAATTTGGAACTCAGACATATTCCCCGCACTCGTAATGCCTTTGCTGATGCTTTAGCTACTCTGTTTTCGATGATCCAACATCCAGATGAATTGGTGATTGATCCTATACAGATTCAACTTCAAAATAGGCCGGCGAACTGTCTGGTTACGGAAAGGGTCACCGATGGTTGTTCCTGGTACGATGATATTAAGGAATTCATGAAAACGGGATCTTACTCTCCTGATACTGATTCTGTTGCAAAAAGTTTCTTACGCAGAATGTCATCAAGATTCTTCTTGAATGGAGAAGTGCTATACAAGAAAACATCTGATTTGGGTCTTTTGAGATGCATCAATGAAGAGGAAACCGATTATATAATGAAGGAAGTGCATAGTGGGGTTTATGGGTCACACATGAATGGACATCTATTGGCTAAGAAGATCATGAGAACAAGATATTTTTGGCTTACCATGGAGCATGACTCTATAGATTTTGTTAGAAAGTATGTTAAGTGTCAAATGCATGGTGATGTTATACGTGCCTCTCCTATAGAATTGCATAGTATGACTGCTCCATGGCCATGTTCGATCTGGGGAATGGATGTGATCGGAACTATTGATCCTCCTGCTTCAAATGGGCATCGATTCATCTTAGTAGAGATTGAATATTTTACCAAGTGGGTTGAGGCCGCATCCTATAAGCATGTGACTAAGAAAGTGGTGTCGGATTTCTTAAGAAATAATATCATCTGTCGTTTTGGGGCACCAGAGACGTTGATCACTAACAATACCAAGAACCTCAATAATGATATGGTGGATGGATTATGTGAACAGTTCAAGATTAGACATCGAAATTCGGTCGTTTACAAGCCTCAGATGAATGGAGCCGTGGAAGCTGCAAATAAAAATTTGAAAAAGATTATTCGTAAGATGACTGAAGCGCACCGGGATTGGCATGAGAAGCTGCCTTATGCACTAATGGCGTACAGAACTACCATCAAAACTTCTACTGGTGCAACTCTTTACTCTCTTATGTATGGAATGGAAGCAGTCCAGCCTGCAGAAGTTGAAATTCCTTCCTTGCGCATTCTGATGGAGGCTCAGATAGAAGAAGCTGAATGGGTCAGAGAACGTCAGGAGCAGTTGTCTCTGATTGATGAAAAGAGGTTGAATGCCGTGTGTCATGGATAATGTTATCAGCAACGAATGGCTCGGGCTTACAACAAAAATGTCAAGCCCCGTTTGTTCGAAGTTGGAGATAAGGTTTTGAAACAGATTCTTCCAATGCAAGATGAGGCTAAAGGGAAGTTTGCTTCCAATTGGCAAGAACCATTCATTGTTAAGAAAGTGCTATCCAGAGGAGCGTTTATCCTTATGGAAATGGACGGTCAAGTTTTTCCCCAACCAATCAATGCAGACATGTGCAAAAAGTTTTTCATTTGATTATAAAAAATTTTTCTTTAAAAATACTGCAAGAGACGGATTTAAGACATACTTCCTCTCATTTTTCCATTTCGATATTCTATCCCTAATTTGTTTTCCCTCTTGACTTTTCATAACCGCTTTCCTTTTTCGCTTGGTAGTCCCTTAAGATCACTAACCCCATACTGGGGCAATTTTGTTTCTTAAAAAAAAAACAAAAATAAAAACAAGAAAAAGAAAGAAAAAGAGAAAAAAAATGAAAAAGAAAAAGAAAGGAAAAAGAAAATAGAGAAATTAGGTCAGAATTAATCTGGGGCAAATTTTATCTCTTTCTCACCTTAGATCGAGGTAAGTTTTGAAAGAATGCTATCTCAAATGATTACAAACCCATCATATGATCCACTGTCAAGCCTTTCAAACCTTAACCTTTCCTTTGCTATTCTATCCGATCCTAATCACAAGAACCAAAATTGCCGACTTTCATCTTTTGCAGTATTTTGGGAAAAAAAATTTCTTAATCAACTAGCAAATGATGTAAATACAAACTTTTCTGAAACATGTCAGAGAAGATTGTCTCACTGATGCTGCTCATTATCAGAGTACGACTGGATTGATACAGTTGGGGTTAAAATTGTCTTGTCTATGTCTCTAGGTGACAACCTGAAAAAGCACCTTCTAAAAAAAAAAAAAAAAAAAAAAAAAAAAAAAAAAAAAAAAAAAAAAAAAAAAAAAAAAGAAAAAAAGAAGACAAAAACAAAGACAAAAAAAAAAGAGAAAAGGGGTGGGGGTAACTTTAGTGAAAACCCGAAAGGGCGCTGAGGTAGGGTTTTGAAATACAAGAGAATCAATAGCAAAAAAGAAGATGCTGAGGTCTGAAAGTTGGTGACTATGTTGATTTGGGTCTCTTTCATACAGTTGTTCTTTTGCCGACAATGAATTCCAAAATGGATGACGTCGAAGAGGTCAGATGGAGCATTTTTTCTCATCAAAGGCTATCCCCTAAATATGAATCCAACTTTTGATCCTTCGACCTATATTCAAAAAAATTCACCAATTTTGTTTTACTATTTTATTTACTATTTTATTTATTTATTCGGTATCATTACTTATTTCATATTAGCATTATTGCATGATGAATAATACATTTTTTTATTGTTTATGTTTCTCATTTATTGGGTCTCACTCAAAAGACAATCCCCTATAATTTATCCCAAAGGAGTCATGAAATTGAAAGTCCTATGATAATAAAATATGGTCAATTGATATTGGGCAGTTGCAAAGATTCTAAAGGGGTTGTCGATCGAATCTAAGGGAGCGATTTGTCGATATTGAAACTCATGTTTACACGACTCTCAAGGCAAATGGATCATATGGTGGTGGCAGTGTTTCTGTCATGGTTGTTTCTTTTCCTTTTTTCTTTTTTGCAGAAAAATTATGTGACACGATAGTGGGTTAGCTGAGCATGATTTACACTGGGGCAAACGATAGAAGGATTGAGTTCCAAATTTCGTTGTACATTTTCGAAGAAAGAAAAGTAAATCATTATTCTCTTTCTTTTAAAGTTCGAAAAATTAAAAGAGTTGTAAGTCCACCAGGTAAGTTTTCTTGATTTATTGCCTTTTGAGCAACATGCATTCTGATCTTGCAGTTCGATAGCATAGAACTTGTGTTTTCATTTCTTCCATTTTTATTTTCGTTGGGTTTGGGTTTTATCCCACCAATCTCGGCAGGTTCGGATTTTATTCCACTGACCTTTTTTATTTTCGTTGGGTTTGGATTTTATCCCACCAACTTTGGCAGCCTCAAGTTTTATCCCACTGATCATTTTCATTTTCATCAGGCTCGCATTTTATCCCACTAACTGTTTTTATTTTCATTGGGTTTGGGTTTTATCCCACCAATTTCGGCAGGCTCGGGTTTTATCTCACTGACCATTTTTATTTTCGTTGACTTTGGGTTTTATTCCACCAACATCGGCAGGCTCAAGTTTTATCCCACTGACCGTTTTTATTTTCTTTGAACTTGGGTTTTATCCCACCAATTTCGGCAGGCTCGGGTTTTATCCCACTGACCGTTTTTATTTTCGTTGGATTTGGGTTTTATCCCACCAATTTAGGCAAACTCGGGTTTTATCTCACTGACCGTTTTTATTTTCATTGGACTTGGGTTTTATCCCATCAATGTCGGCAAGCTCTGGTTTTATCTCACTGACCATTTTTATTTTCGTTGGGTTTGGGTTCTATCCCACTGACCGTTTTTTTTATTTTCGTTGGGGTTGGGTTTTTGTCCCACCAACCTCGGCAGGCCCGGATTTTATCCCACTAACCATTTTTATGTTTGTTGGGTTTGGATTTTATCCCACCAACCTCAGCAGGCTCGGGTCGTATCCCACTGACAGTTTTTTTTATTATTTGATTAATAATTGTGCTTTATCATTCATTTTGTATTTCATGCTTAAAAGTTCTGAGAGTTCAAACTTTTTCGATTTTTGCAAAGATCACAGATGGTCAATACACTTGTTTCGTTGGAGTTTACTTGTATTCGAACTATGTTTGACCTGATTCCCATGGCGGGATACGTAGACAACTCTACATGAGTTCGGTCACGTTGTTTATAATTTCATTACATCTTTTGTTCAATAATTTCAGCCAAGTGTTGGCTTGTTGTTTTAGCTTAGGTGTTGTTAGAAGAAACAGAAGAGCAATTTTGGTGTCTACGTCTTTGTCTTGAATTTCTTTGAAACTCTAGACAAAGAGGGGCAAGCTATAGACACCAAATTTTTGCCAAATTTTTGTCAAATTTTATGTTTTCTTGAATATTTTCTATTTGATAAGTCATTTATTTTCCTGCATTTTTAAGTATATTTTGTCTCATTTGTGTAGATTTATCTTTAAAAAAAAAGAAAAAAGAAAAAAGAAGAAAAAAAAGGAAAAATCAAAAATCAAAAATCAAAAAATCAAATCAAAATCAAATTATTACTAAACTTACACATTTTCATCATTTTTCTTACCAATTACACTTAACCCATTCCTACACTCAATTTTCTTGACCTTTCTTGTCATTTGATAAAGATCATCATTTTGACAAAACACACACACAAGCTCCTCTTTTTCTCTCCCAATATTCGACTCTCTCGACTCTCTCAGACGGAGAAAAAAAAAAACCAACTCCCCATCTTTTCTCCAGGAGACATCTCTTGGTTGCAGACTTGCACAAAGGGAGCTCTCTTGGCCTTTCTTTCTTTTTCCCATCAGACAAGGACGAAAAAAAGAGAAGCTCCGAAATTTTTTTTCTCTCTCTCAGTTCACTCTCTCGGTTCTCCCTCTCGGCTCCCTCTCTTTTTTCCAACAAACTTAACACAACAAAGCAAACAACAGGGGGAACAAGTTGTCAGACATTGAAGCTTAGGAATTTAACCACAAACCTCACCTACCAAGTGACTGCAACATTCTTGAGGTATCTTTTTTTTTTTTTTAGTTTTGTTTAAACATTAAATTCATATTTCGTTGCTTGTTTTCTCCTACTTTTGTTGTCTTGCATTGTTGTTATTGCATTGTTGAACATTTGGGAAATGGTTTGAGTTAGATTAGAGAAAGGGAGATAAATTTTGTATATGCATGTTAGGTGTTTGAAAAAATGCCTAAATCAAAAACCGAATTAAAGTACCCATTATTGTGCATTTTGTTTGTTAAAATAGATGATTATGGTTAGTGCAAGACTTGAAAACGTGAGGTTGCTCAAGCATTTTGGGAGTTTGAACTTTAGAAGCATGTGAATAATTTTTCTTCATTTTGGACTGTTTTATTTTAATTTTGTCACATTTGTTGTTGCTTTTATTGATTTCCTTTCATAGTTAGGTTGTAAAAATCACAAGGAGTGTTGTAGTATATTTTTTATAATTTTTAGTGAAAGATATGGTGATTCGGAAAAAATAAAAACTGGTCTGTCTTTTACCATTTTGACCACTTTTGGGTCATTTTCCATAAAGACTAACTCCAGAAATGGAATCTACACGAAAAATCGAGTGGGAAAGTGTATTTTGGTGAAATTTGGCGACCGGCGGTGGCGCCGCCGGCGGCCAGCATGGCCACCAGTTGAAGCTTCTTCAGCTGGCCGAAGAAGAAGAGAAAGAAACGGCTGGAAGTGGAGGAAGAAGGAAGAAAAGAAAAGAAGGAAAGAAAAGAAAGAAAAAGAATAGTTGGGCTAATATTTTTTTTCTGGTGGGTTTTGACTTGGGTTTTGGTTTTTTTTTTTTTGCGTTTTACGCATGGGTTTGAGAGTTGAAACCCATGCATTTCAGTTGGGTTTGTTTGACAAAAACAATAGGCTAGCCCGTCTCTTGTTCTCGAGGCTTTTCCGGTGGGTTTGGGAGTCCTGTGTGACGCCCCGAAAGAAGGAGTGCGAGAACCCGCAAATTTTCTACGTTTTTAGGGTTTATTTTTATTAATCGCTCGCCTTTTCCACATTTTTTTATTAGAAATTTCCCCAGATAATTTTTATGAGTAAATATAGTTTTTAGATGATTTTTCTAGTATTAGTTAGTTTTTGAAAAATTAAGAATAAATATCGGACGTGGGACCCGCTAGTGCGGAAAGTTCTGAAAAATTCGGCCAGTTAGGTTAAATTTTGGATACTGGGTTTAATTTACCGGGTGTTATGAGATATTTAGAGGTACCAAGTGCTTAGGTGTGAGAAAGACAAAAGAAAGTTAGGCATGAATTAAATAAAGTGACAAGTGTCACTTGCCTATTGGATGGACTTGTATGACT